ACGGGAACACCACGTCGACCCCATCAAGACCCCATCGGGACACCACACCACCGCCAATACAAAAAAAGTACCGAGCAAAATACAGCAAGAAAGCCAGTGACGAACAAACACCGCCAACAAAACCCACGGCGTAGCAACAGAACGCCAACACCAAGAGGACACCAAGAAGACACCAAGAGGACACCAAGAGGACACCTGGCCTTGGAAAATTGGAGACCAACTAGACGCTGACTGCTCCCTTGACTTGGTCCCAGTGCTGCGAAAATCCTGCTTTAGGTTTAGCTCTAGGTGTCTCTTAGGATCTAAATTTCTTTGACGTACCTGTCACATGAAGTCCTGCCCGTCAAACAACCTAAGAAACCACCAGATGAAGAAAAGAGCATTGATTTTGACCAGTTTGGAAGGAACCTAAATCCCAGAGTGCAATACAACAGGGCAATTGAACCCTTTCCTTTGGCTGCCCAAAGCTCGGCCCACGTCTGGGGTACTTCAAAAACAAGAAGAAGAAAAACAAATTATATATTCTTGCGAGGGTCTCTGGAAGAGAAACTTCCTCTTAAAGGAATTCCTTTGCGGTGCTGTGTTGGTGGCAGGGAGGCCAACACATTAAAACTGGGCTGTTCTCCTTCGATCCCTTGCTAAAAGTCGAACATGTTTTGTGGCTTAGTGGAAACTACCAAACCCAACAAAGGACTGAAAAACCTAAGGAACCGAATGGCTGGGAACCACACCTTGGGATAGGAGAAACTCCACCTCAGCCTCATCCGGAAAATTCTAAGGGGGCTCAACAAAAAATGCGTGGAAAAATACCTGGGCTGTTCCCCATCGATCCCCTGCGGACGATTCGCTGGGAAACGCCAAGAGAAACAAACTACCAACCCCCCCCACCAAAAAAAAGAGCTGACACAACTCAGGAACCGGACGCTTCGCAGGGAAGCGGAGAAACATTTTCTTCGACCCTTCGCTTTTCTGTTTTCCCTTCGCATCCCCAAAAACCGAATGCGACTCGCCGCTCGCAGTCGCGACTCGGGACTCGCCTCCTGCCAGGCTTGGCGCATGCGCTGCTCGTGCCCGTGCCGCGAGCTGGCGGTCCATCCGCGCCAGGACCTGAGGCAAACCCCCCACTGGGGCGGCGGCTGAAGTCCCGGATCCCGGGTGAGCTTGCCCTGGAAGGCCACGACGAAACGGTGGCCAAAAATAGGAAAAGGTCCAAAAGGGCGATTCGGTTTGGGAAGGTAATTTAAATGGGGCCCCAACTTCTGTCGGTGGGGGCCCCTCCAAAAGTGATGAACCACTGAAACCAGGCACAACCCCATACGAACAAATGGGGATTGATTCATCCGACATTAGGGGCCCGAAACGGACATCGGGTCTGGGCCGAAGGCTTCATGTCCACTTCGTGGTCCCTGGGCTTCCTTGAAATGGCAACCACCAAGCGGGTCCACCATTTGGGTCTGTCTTTTTGTTCATGGTACCTGTTAAGCGGGATTATTCAAGCGGACGTGGTTTAAAGGGAAACAAAAGGACAATCATCAATTGGAGGGGTCACCTTTAACAAAACACACCCACCCGGATTGAGAAACTCCAATGTTTCCCCGAAACTCACTTTATGGTTTAAAACCACCAAACGAGAAATGTCTGACACTTGCAGGGCAATCCGAGGGGCTAAAAAAACAACCCCCCTTCAAAGCTCTGAATACCCCGTCGTTGGTTCGTGTTGTAAAAATAAATCACCGGCTGTCCAAAGCAAATAGAAACTAACCATCTAGCTAGAAGGGACTTTCTTAGGCCGCGTTTTCAACAGCCAGGTTCCCCCGTTTGTAAGGGTAAAAACAAGGTGTTCCCATGATGTTTTTCAGGTAATGGCATGTCCTGCTTGGATTTGGGCCGGGGTATCCCTCTTGTATCTCTTATACAGTATGTTGACACGGTTGTAGACATAAGAAAGCAACACCGAAGAGCGCCGTAGCTGTGCGTCCCTCACTCCTTGCTGTAGCTGCTGAAAAAACGCGTACGGATTTTCCGACTGATTTTTAGTGCGCCTGTGGTACTCCAGGGCGGGTGAAAAAAACAAATCCACCAGACTGGACTCATGGGACTCCCTTGGGGATCAAAGCCGCAAGTTCGGCCAAATCGGCTTGGGGTGTTTCACTTCGCTTTGGCTTGAGACATTTGCATCTCCGAGTTCCAGCCATTGAAAGTCGCGCCTTCACGGAACTGCCCTGATGAACTCACTTCCAAAAGGCACACTCATGTGAGTTGTACTCAAAACCTGGTACTGAAAAGGTGGATCCCCAGGTCCATGCTTCAAGAACTGAAAAGCCGGATTCTTCTGGATTCATGGAAAGGGGATTGTTTCCCTCCTCATACCCGAAGCGGTTTTTTGCGTCTCCGGTCCCTTCTCTGAGCCCAGCGCTGCCAAACCCAGCCCTGCGCGGATTCCTGGCGCTCCAGCTTTCTTCGGGCGGCTTGGCGCTCGAGGAAACCTTCGATTCAGAGCCCACTCAAGCAAGTGGGGAAGCCATTACAACCTAATTCCTTTGTTTTGAGGGGAACTGGGTTGTAACGACCCCTCTGCAAAACGTTGTCAACTTTGTGTCGGTCTCCTCTGGAAAACCCAGTGGTTCCCAAAAAGTTCAAGTCCAAAGATCCAACCAAATAGCCATAATTGTGTGAGCAAGGCACTTTTCGGTAGCATGCATCGCATACTATTGCAACAAGTTTGTCAAAAGGGCAGCTCCTGCCTGCTACAAAAAATGTGGGCTTATGCCAGTCTAGTCTGTATTGGTATGTTTGTTACACTAGCAGCTGGTCCAATGTAAGCTCCACATGAAGCCAAAACAACCGCCACGGAACGACGGCTGCAAAACAAATCCACAATTGATGCCAAAGAAACAACCCAAGCAGGTGCATCCAAAACTTGTCCGTTGTACGGCAATAAATGGCCGTTCCACGGTCAAAAATGTCCGTTCAATTGCTTGCCTTCGGTTTGTCTACAGTTTGTCTACGGCTTGTCAACGGCCCACCGGAGTTCCAACAAAGCGCCGCCCAACAACTTGATCAACATGGTCTGCCCCTGTTGAACGCTCCCCTAACTTCCCTGTGAAATGACCGTACCGTATGCGCGCATGGTTATGGATTCTGCCATAATTTACTTATGACAAATTCTGTAAATCTTCCAGAGCCCCTTGCAATTCATGAGCCAGCCAACTTGGCCGCGCACCCTGCGGGTCCCTCCTGAAGCCTGCAAAAAGCGAGCCAGAGAAAAACATATGCGCTGCCCCTGGCATCATATTTTTCTAGTCGAGGAAGACCAGGGTACTGGGTACTGGGTTGTCCTCAGATCCCCTGCCAAAAGTTTGACTTTTAGCACAAACTTTTAGCAGGTTACATGAAAACCCCACTAAACCTTAAAAGTCTAAAAGCCTAAGTGGACGGCCAAGGGTAGTGGCAAGCAATACTCTATTTGTGCGTTTCCGCACAATCTCGGCAACTGGGAGCGTAGTCAGAGGCTTCCATTTTTGGTTTCGTCGAGAGAAAGGAGACGATCCGGCGACTTCATGGAGCGTGAACCTGACCTTGTAAGCTTGGATCCCAAACTCGAATCTCTGGGCCCATCTAGCAGTTGGAGTTTCTGAGGGACCCGTTCAAATTCTTCGGGGCGCCAGTCTCTTCAACCACGAGGCTAATACCCAGGATGTCTTAGGTCCAGGTGCGACCCAGCAAGCGATCGGAACCGGCCCGCCAGGGTTCGGCAGCCAAGTACCGCACTTTGGCAGTGCTACATGTCTCAGCCGTGCTTGGGGTGGTTTTTTGATTGATAATTGGTACCCTCAAAAGCCAGGGCTTCAAATGGGTTTGTCTTCTTTGGGGGACCGAAAAATGGTTGGTTGGTTTCCTTTTGGCTGCCCTTTAAGACCAACCAAAGGGGCGTACCCGTAAACCTCCGGCTCTGGTTGGCCGCTGTTGGAGCTTCTTTCGGAACTTTTCGGCCCGCTTTTGGACACCAAGAACATAGAAGAAGCGATGTCGCCGTACTGGTGTGTGTCTTTTTGCTGGCGCCTCTCTGCGGTGATTGGTTAAAGGGGGAAAAGGACCCACCGGTTTTTTGTGGACCAACGTTGCCGGGTCCCGAAGCTCTGAGAGAAACCGGTTCGATGTCACACGTTCAGGCCGCACGTTTCCAGGACTTGAAGCTGTGCTCCAAGTTTTCGTCCACCAGCCTCGGGCTGGGTCCCCGGGCCCCGGGTCCCGGGTCCCGGGTCCGGACAAAGAAAGACAGAGGAATCATAGGAAATTCGGTGGGGGATGTAGGTCGCCACCAACCACTTCTCAGGCGCACCATCTGAAACTCATCGCGTCCCATTCGCTTTCTTCAGAGAAGAGGTGCCAAAATCGCCGAATGGTTTGGGAAGAACCCAAAAAGGAGTCAACTTCTTGGTCAAAGCCTGGAGTGAGTCAGAGGTTGGTTCCCTTACCATATACTCATAGTTCAGTGGGTGGGGGGGGGATTCACGATTCGCCGCATGCTTGCATATCATTGAAAGGCTCACTGCATGCTGGCGCAGTTCAACTTTGTGGGTCGAAAGGGGTGAGTTCAAGGACTCAGGGCTCGGACATTTCACCGGGTCAGTGACCCGAAGTCTGGCTCCGAGGATCTGCCATTTCCATAGCCTCCAAGTGGAAACCGATCGCTTCAATGGAACCCACCAGTAAAACGTAGCTTTTGAAACCCAAACCAGCGCCGGTCTTTTGCCCAAACGGCAAGGGCGAACCGATTTGCCCGTTCCCAGCGTCTACATGAAGAGTGGCCAACTTGAGTTCGGTCAAAGGCAAACCCGAAAACAGGGTCACTCTTCTCGTATTTGGAGACTGCTTTGTGGAATTGGAACCAGCTTTTACTTGGAAAACAAGATGATGTTCCTCAGCAAACAGATGTTCTAGTTGCTTCGCCGTTCTCGTCACCCGTTCTTCTGTTCAGAAAGGGCCCTAGCCTTGTTTCACCATATGTACAACCGGTTCTTTGAATCTAGACTCAGAAAAAATAACCATAGCTGCAACCCATGTGGATTCAACCGCCAACCCAGGCATCGGAAGAAATTGCCAGGCAGCATGACGGCGCCGATGTTGTCAAACTCCCCGCAAAAGTCCGCCACGCTAAAGAGGGACACCAACCGCTCCGCAAAGTACTCGTAGCCCTCCTCAACCACCTCAAAGGTCTGTTCGGGTGTTTTTGGGTTCAGATTCCCCATCTTTCCGTACACTTGGGGCCCTTTCAAATTGTTCAAACCACCCGAAGAGACCTTTAATTCCAGCGGCTATTCGAACCAACCATTTGCCTTTTTGTCCCAAATGTCCTTCCCAAAATCTGTGTCTCAAACGAGAGCAATGAACAAGTCTGGTGTCTGACCTGTGTCCCCTTCGATCCCCTCCTAAAATCAAACATGGAAGCTGACAGGAGGGTGTTGGAAAACTGCTTGGGTTTTGGGGAACCCCTCTGTCCACTTCCATGATTATTGGGATGAGAGTAACTTTTACTGGTGCGGAAACCACTGGACCCAACAAACACACCAAAATCACACCTAAGGAACCGAACCGCCACTCTCCACGAAGCGGTGTTCAAAAAGGCCATATCTCTTTGGTCCAAGTTCTGGGTGTCATGTGCTCTGCAAAGGGTTGCGGTCTGTTTGAGGTTGCACCACCAAAATTGTGGTTCTCCTCTTGGCCTCCCTGATACCCTCCAAAAACAGGACAAACCCATTTTGAGAGAAGGCCGTTCTTCTTGGCCAAACTGGATGCCCAGGCAAGCAGTCTTCATCATGGGCGTCGCAACCCCGCCCACCCTCGTGATGTCGTCGTACTTTGCCCAAACAAAGCCAAGCCCAGTCTGTGCAATGATAAACGGTTCACAGGCTAGGGAGGCAAGTTTGTCCTCAACGTGGGCGTGTGGTGTTTGCAAGGCAACCATCTTTGCCGACCGCCTGGGGTCCAAGAAATTGCTGAAGTGCATGTTCAACATCGGTGTGAATCAGCTCAGTCACAATGGGCCAAAACCCATGTAAAGAACTGAAAGGGCGGACGCCGCACCTATTCATGATTGGGATTGTGTTTCACCCTTCTCTTGCCCCGTTTTTGGCAGGACGTGGCTCACCTGATTCCCCCGCACAATGAGGTCCAGATCGTGGTCTTTCAAGAACTTCTGCACCACATCTGCGCCAAAAGTGTATGAGACACCTTTGTCCTGCCAGCAGAGAACATACTCCGGTGTGTAGAATCTAAGCCAGCTGATCGCGGATTTGGTGGGTGTTTCGCAGCCTTGCAGACTTGTCCCCTTTTTGGTTTCTTTTTCCGACCGCACACGAGTTGTTTGGCATTGGGTGGCCATGGTCCCCCAAATCCTTCAAGCCCATCTTCATGCCCATCCTCAGTGACCCCAGGTATTGGTGCTGTCCAAAAAACAGTGGTTGGGAAGGTAGCTGCTTCTTCAACCATGAAACCAACATCCCGTTGGTGTCCAAAAAAAACAGCCGTTGGGACGCGGGGTGCTGACAGAGAACCTCTGTAATTCACACCCTCCAGATCACACAGTTGGTGTTGTCCCCAAACGGACGCATTGAAATTCGAACTCGAGGCTTGCAGAATGGGAACGTGTGACGCTGGCTCTGGGGTCCTGCTTTCCGCTTGTCTTCCTGTCTGCCAGCCTCTCCGGTCAGATGCGCTGGCTCCGGGTCGTGTGTGTGTGTGTGTGTCCCAGCGGTCGCTTCTCGCTCCAGTCAGATGCCAGATGCTGGGAGTTTTGCAATTTTTCCCGCATACAGCCCTGAACAGGAAAAAATGGGGGTCTTGGCAAGACCAAATGAACTGGCTTCTTCTTTGCGAGGTTTGGGGCGAACCTCGCTTGCTCGGCACAGCAGCAACAGGGCCAGGTTGCGCGCTCCACGCGGGGCCGTCATTGTGCAGTGTTGCTTTTTTGCTGTTTGAGTCGAGTCGAGGCTGTTTTTTTCGGCGGGGGGGACAACGAGACCGGCGCAAGGGAAACCCTTGAGGCGTGGGAATTACTCCAGTTCCGCGTTCGACCCCGGACAGATCTGCAATTTTGCTACAGGAACTCCAGAAATGAACTACATGTTCGGTCGACGGGGCATTCTACCCCGCAGGTGCGCGCTTTTGCAGCTGCCCGGAAGGGGGGGGGCACAGGGGGGAAGGGTAGAAACCAGCCGATCCTGAACCCCCAGCCCCACACGCCATGTGACCTGTCCGGAGCGTCTAAGAGGTCCTGGGACCTTCTTGCGCTTGAAGCAGTTTTTTTCATGATGAGTCTTGTAACAGGCTCTCCCATGATCAATGTCGACGCATAGACAGCCCGGCCTGGACAGCTGCATCATGGCGTTGGTGGCATTCCGAAGGTATGTCACTGACAGAGTCAAGCCGCAGTCGTGCTTTGAAGACACAAGTTCGAATCTCAGATTCGAATACGCGCATTTGGACATTTGAAGACTTTCCTGTGATCCCACCGAAGCCACGATTTACTATTTGCACAGGACTTGCACAGTTCCCAACCCCACGTCCAAGAGTGAACGCCACCCCACCCTCCCGGCAGCCCTACATGTTGGCCTCCTGTTTTACAAGCTCGCCAGACAGGCAAATGAATGCCGCCTCGCCCCCGGAGTTTGTTTCCAGTCCTGGTCATTCCAGCCGGTCACCTCCTTCTCCGGGTCCGACCACAGCAGGTCGGTCAACAGCCCCATGTCCGGCACGTCCATGGGCCGACGGAGCTGGCGAATCTGCTCCAAATCTTGCCTCGTCTTCTCGTCTTCCAATCCCCAAGGCCCCGAGGTCTCGGCTTTGGCCCAAACTGCAGACTTAGGCCTTCAGGTCTCTTAAAAACACCCGGAGTTCTGGTGGGCATCTTGCCACTCGGTTCTGGGCTCTGCGTTTTCTGTCCCCCGATCGCTAAAAGTGACTTCTGGTTAAATGCGAAAACCCGATCAAAAAAACTAAAGACCTAAGGCACCATGCCTGGGAACCGCCTTGTGGTGGATGTCTTTCTGGTTTCCCTTTAAACCGGCCTGAACTTGGCAACCTAGTACCCCCATGCTTTGGGCCCGTTCGACCGCTCGACCTCTTGACTGACTGACCTCCAAAGATTGCCTGATGCCCCAATCCTCCCTGCACACTCTCACTATCCAGTAAAACTGCCTCGGGGCGCGGAGTTGGCTCCCCCGGAGGATTTGGGTCCTTGAAAAGGACTTTCCACAGTGTAAATGTGCAGTTGGGCGTTCATGTTTCTGCAGAAGAGTAGGGGACAAACTCCAAATGGTGGAATTGCTTTCCCTCGATCCTCCAAAGCCCAAAATTACCACAAAAGGGTGAACCTATTGAACCTTTGCGTGTCCCAACTTTTGGTATTCCCCATATTTCTGCTTTCCCCCACCCCCGATAGGAAACACACTTTTTCAAAGGCCCTAAAAGGTGATGCTCAAAACCACAACTCTTGCTTCATGAACGTTCAACCTGGGATTTAATTCTGTTCCATCACCTGCGCAACCAACACCCGGGTGTCAAAATGGTCTAGAGTCTGCACAGAACCATGTAAAGAAATGGCCGGGACTCTCCAGCGACCCTCCTACCCTCGAATTTCCCGGGCCAGCCGCTCCCTCGATCCGCTCACTGGTGAAACTTGTTCTGTGAAGCCTGCCACTAAAAAACAACGAAACAAGTTTCTGGAACCGGATGGCCGGGAATCAAGTTCATCCCGTTCCACTGGTCTTCGCCACTAACCTGGCCTGGAAGCTTGCATGACGTCTGGTCTGTGTCGTACACTTGGGCGACGGTATGAATCTTGTTTTTCAACCAAACTCCGGGGACTGAATGGACCCGTGGAAATGGGAATGGGACATGTGTTCTTCACCCCTAAGTCTGCTGGAAGCCCCCGCATAATACATGTATTCTGAAAGAACCCTAAGTCTGCTGATCATATGGAGTGGAAAGGAGACCTGTCCCCCAATCGTAAGTCCAAGCTGTCCTCTGTTCGCCTCATGGGTGTCATTTGTTGGGGACACCCCAAACTGGCTTCGGTGTTTCTTCACACGAAAACGGGGTGCCAACTCCAGAAAACCCGCAAACGAGCCGCCCATGTCAGTCGCGTTGTTTTTTTTCAAGCCGAGGCTCAGCTCGGGCGACAGGCCACTGGCCACGCAGAAGATGCGGTGGTTGATCAGCGCGCAGATCGGCATGGCGTCAAAGAAGTTGATGAAGGCCCTCCACACCTCCCGGATGGGACCGGAAACAAAGGTGATCGCCTTGTAGGGGCCACGAAGCATGCACCAAAACTTGAGAATTGAAGCGAGCCCATGACAAACACGGGATGACAAAGGTACCAGCTTGAAAGGCAACCACAGAAACCGATAGGCAGTTTCTCAAAGAAAATAAATCAACCCCCCTTCGGTAAATTGATGAAATTGAAAGGGACACCTGCCAAGCAATTGCGGAAACAAGGTTTAGTCCAATCAGAATTAACAAACAAACACCCTGTCCCTCCCTTTATCCCTGTTTCAACTGGGCCGTCCTCAGACCCGCTAAAAGTGAATAACGTTTAATGGGTAAAACTCGGAAACCCAACCACTAAACTCGCTAAAAGCAACTAAAAAGCTTTCTGGACCCGGACGATCCGCTGGTTGAACAACCTTGCTAAACCTCCCCTGGTGTCCCGCAAAACCGAGAAAATGCATTAAAACTCCGAGATTTCCCCAAAAAAGCGGAGCAAAACAAAAAAAACGGGGCCTTGACGTTGCTCCGCTTCTTGCACTCGTCGTAAAATCCGTAGATCCGCGAGATGGAGCCACACTCGTGGCGTCCCCGCAGCAGATGGAGCCGCGAGCTGTGCCGCAGCTTGAGGCTCAGCAGCAAGACCAGCACGTCCAGGCCCTGCTGGCCCCTGTCCTCAGAGATCCCAAGCTGCGCTTGGGATCCGTTTTTTGGGTTCTTGTGGGGGTGCCCTATGATCATGATATGGGGGGTCCTTTGTATTGGATGACCGTTGGTTGACTGAAAAGATTCTATTTCCCACTAAACGGGAAAAGTCACTCATGGTCATTCGGGGGCCAGGAAGACTGATGCGGATGAATGTCCTTGCCCCGAAATTGTGGAGGTCCTGGCCTGTCCTCAGTTCCCCTGCGAAAAGTGAATAACGTTTGGCGGGTTGCATTCGGAAACCCCCAATATACCCTAAAAAAACTCAAAAGCCATATCAGGGGACGGCTGAGAACCGGCAAGGGTCCTGTATACCCTATAATAGCTATATAAATACCCTTATCTTGCTGGTGCGATAAGTAGTGAATGACCTTCGGGTGTTGGAATGGGGATTCCCCTTTCAGGAAACCCGAAATCGGAGGTGCTCTAATTATGCCAGAAAGGTGTTGAATGAGATGGGTGTGGAAGAATGATATGCTGGGTTGCCCTATCAAATTTAAAATACCCTTCTGCCCTAGTTACAAATGAAATGTACCCCTAAATATGTAAATGCACGGTTTTTGAGTGTACCCGTACCCTTTCCGAGTGTGTTTTGAAGGGAAACCAAAGGGAAACCAATTGTTCGTGGGATCCCTCAAAAAGACAAACCCATATTTGCCTTCTACCCGACAAACCGGTTGACCTCGTTGTCTAATGGTCCGCCACCCCGGGTTTTTGTCGGGCTGGGCGTGTTGCAAGTTCGACCTTGAGTTGGTATCCGCATTCGGTTGGTACCCAGTTGAAATGGACATGGGTGTGTCCTTTTAAGGGGAAGGGCTTGGTGCTGTTTTGGGAAACCACTCATGGTTTAAATTCGGAAACCCAACCCCTAAACCAACGTCTAAAAGCATTTCTGGAACCGGACGATTCGCTATGTTTCGCAGGTTCCACCGACCCAAATTGTCAGGAAGGTGTAGATTTGAGGCTCGGCATAAACCTTGGGGGGGGGGGAATAGGGGTGGGGGGTCCAAGTCCAGTGTGCTGGTCCTCCCCAGCAAAAGGAAATCGAACTTAGGGAGATATCCTGTCGAACCCCCAGTTCATCAATTCTAGCGTCAAGGAGATTCCCCAGATGGTCAAAACACAAAACTGATGTATCAAAGGCTTGTATACGTCCATGAACCCATGGCCATGTTCCGTTCAAGGGCCCATGAGTGCCTTTAGTAAGAATAAGATGTTATTGAGCCACAGTCCGTACTCACTTGCCCCCTTGAAACCTGGAAACACAGGTGATCCTCTTTTGGGGTCACTAAATATGGGAAGCCAAAATGGGGAAGCCAAAAAGGCTGATACTTCTTACCCCAGTGACAATGCATTGTGAGTAAACCGATTTGAAATCCACTCGTCGTTTGAGTGCAACCCATGAACCACCCTCTCTGACAGACGGACCTCGGACCGCTCAGAAAGGCACCTGCAAGGAAACCGCAAGGCCCAGTCTCAACTTGATCTGCCCCGCGGTTGTTTCATTCCTTCGAATCTTGATCTTGGGAATTGGATCCCTGGGGGTTGGCTTCATTCCTGGATGTTGTTTGGTGGAAACGCATTGATTGTTGTTGCACTAGGCAGCAAATGGCATTCGTTCCTTTATTTCCGAAGGCGATGACTGAATTGAAACAGGTTAGCTTACTTCTCGAGTGGATAGACCCAAAAAAGTCCAAAACGCCTAAAAAGTCCCGTGGACTTAGGAAGTGACTTGGGGAAGATAGACCATCTGCTTTCAGAAACCGCTGTCGAACTCTTTCGGACTCGTCTCCACCAGGTTCCCCAAAAAGAGATACTTCGTCTCCGGGACATCTCCGCAGCTGTCAAAGATCTTGTTCCTGGCTCACTCAAAGGCAACAAAATCCGACTGCGCCCGCGACAAAATGGCGGATGGTTGCTTCGAATTCCGAGAACAAAAAAAAAGAAGACAAAAACTGGGCTGGCCGTTTTCGGATCCTCGGATCTAAAAGTCGAACACTTGAGTAGTTTAGTGGAAACTAAACTACCGAACCAACTGAACACCCAAGACAAGTTTAAGGAACCGGATGGCTGGGAAACAACAAGTTAACATTGAGATAGGCCATACGATAACCCAAGTTCAACCAGGCACGAGTCTAACGCCGAAGGCATTGAATGGATGGCTCATCCCATGCGCAGCCACGTCTTAAAGCAGCAGAAAAGACATCTGGTTGGGACCATCCACTAATCGAGCCATTTACGCGCACTGGAATTTGCAACCCGCGCAAGGCTTCCTGGAGCAGCAGGGCTCAGGGGTTGGCTCCCTTGCAACCATTGTAACCTACCAAGTGGGTTGCCCCCCAAATTTGGGCTCCGGAGACCTTTCGGGTCTTGGGGTCTTGGGGTATTGTCAATCTCATGTTTGCGGAGGCTATGTTTTTGAAACGCCGTCCAGATCTTGGCAGTTTGTGCAAGATGAATCTCGTCACAAAAGAACGTGGCTACGCCGGGTCTTCCATCCCTGCAAAACGTACCACAAAGGATACCAATTCTGAAAGCGGACACGCCCTTCTTCCTTTCAAACAAACAAGCCCATAATCCTGAAGGAAAGCCACCACAAAGGAGACTCCATTCGTAGCCCAAGGTGAGGACCCAGCGGATTGCCCCAAATCAGCCGCCCAGCGGTTTCCTTAACCTAACCCGGCTGTGGCTCAAAAGGATGGTCCCAAAACGGCACCTCGGTAAATGAAACCAAACACTACCTGCGTACCCAAGCGTTTGTTAGTTTTGAGCCACAGCCTCCTCAGAGGCTGGCGAGGCGCAGCTGGTCCAGGCGCCCGGTGAGGTGCGCAACGATCACCAGAGGAGGTGATAACTCCAGGAGGGTGGGCTCCTTGAGCATCTGCTCCTGCGCTATGGAGCAAAAACCAGTTGGGGGGTGGGGGTTTGGGACCTGGGGGGCTGGGGGTTGGGAAGGTGGGGGGGGTTTTGGGTTTTGGGGGAGGGGGGGGGGACACCCAAAATGCCAAAAAGCCGTTGGTGGCGCGCGGGAGGTAGAACATTTTTTAGTGAGCAACTCACCACACAAAAAAGGGGTTGAAGGGTAGAATCCACTGAAGTGGGACCAGGAAACTTCCAGAAGCCTCCTTGTAACTCTGAAACAAGAGAGCGAGCAAGCAAGTGCCAAACCAGAAGCCGCTGAAAACAGCCGGGAAAACGGGAAATTCGGAAAACCCGAGCCGACTCCTGGAACACCGGAGAATCCCCGAAAAGAAACTTACCATAGATTCCCTCTTGGGGCCACTAAAAATTTACCAAAACGTGGAAAACCAAGGGTCAAAAGGTCGGCTGGACAAGAGGGAAAAAGGGGCCAAAAAGAGCCGTCCTTGGCGTAGTAACAAAGGATCATCAGCTGGTCCGCGTCAAAGTCTGCCTGCGTTCTGGAGCTGGTGATCTTGCGCAAGAGCTCCGCTGAAGTATGGAGGTCCGGCGATTTCCTGCCCAGAAGCTTTGTGAGACCCAAAACAAGTCTAAACGTTCTATTTAACACTACATGGTGCCTTTTTGCTGTGATTACCTGTTCTGGTTTAAAAGGGCAACCAAAGGGAACCCCGCCATTTTGGGGGGTCCCCACTTTTTAAGACCACAAATGAAATCCAAGAACGCAGGAAGCGAGAGACTTCGGAGCGCTCATCCTGCACGAGAAAAAAAAGGAGAAACAAAAAAGAACAAGAAGAAGTAGAACAAAAAAAAACGTGCTCGATCTTTGCGACTGACGTGAGCTTGGAGGGGAATCTTCGCTAAGTCAACACAGACTTTTGCGAACCCTAACTCAAGCGCCCGGTGGATTTCCATCATGGGAAAAGCAACCCTTCCCCAAAAAAAGGAAACATGGGTGCCACTGAGCAACTGGGCTAAGCAAGGGCCCCGGAACTCATTTTCCCCACAAACTTCCCCCTTACATAACCTTTGGTCAAAACAATCGCAGGAACCGTCACCTGGAGTGTCTCTTTTTAGTGGGGGTTCACTTTTGGAGGGAACACCCACCTATTATGAATAGGACGGGTGTATTAATCCAGGGTCAATATTAGTGGAGAAACAGGGGGTGGTGCTTTTGAACCAGTGTCATAGCTGCCATAGCTTACTAAGTGTGATACAACCATGGTTTTAAGCGGGGCAACAACCCTTCTTTAACCTTGTTGCAGGTTTGTTACCCAACGGCGATCCGCACAACTATGATTATACCCTAAGTGGACTGGATCGAAATTGGGAGGGACTTCCACTCCTAGGCTGAATTTATGTCAAACATATGTGCCCCTGGTATGAACAATTCAATGATCGGCTACCTGTGATTCATTGACCGTTGATGAATTACCGGCCATGGGAAAAAAAATCGGTACCCCCAGTGAACATCCCAATCCCCACTAAAATAGACTAACATGGGTTGTGCACCTACCCCAAAATGGTACCATTGGTTTTAACCCACAGCCGTATCGGTTCTTTAACCCCTCTTTCCATTGCCACCCGAGCGTCACGACCATGTGCACCGTCACCTCCCCGGACCAGCCGAGCGCCTACGGTGAAGCCGCACGAGCTTCCGGGAGAGAAGCGCCTCCCTTGATTCCTGACCTCCCAACTGGCCGGCATCCTTTTGGGGGCTTCTCCAAGGACGCCTTCCCTTCCTGAGTGGATTGGCCAGAAAAAGCAACCCGAGTGCCACTAAAATGGTCTTCCAAAAAAGTTTAAAGTCATGGGCTCAGGAAGTCAGTTTTCTTTAGACTGGTTGACAGGCGGGATAGGCCCGTCCATGGGTACCCCTGATATTCTGGCAAGTGTGATTGCAAGAGCCGTAGTCAAATGGTCTACCCAGAACAATGTAAGGAATTCAAAGGCGGCCGCATCCATGTATGGTTGAGATTATCCCGTACTAACCTTCATCTACCCGGGTCTTGACGACGTAGCTACACATGACCTATGAGTCAATGAGGTAGTTGATATAGTGGGCCGTCCGGGAAGTGTCAAGCAGAAGAATGGATGCAGTGAGACCCCAGGTAAAA